CTCTAATACATTGTCAATTCTGGTAATAATTACAGCTATTTCTGTAACAAGTTCAATTTCCTGCTTTCAGGTTTTTAGTAAGGATATTATATTATTTTTCTATTTTAATAAAATAATTTAATTTATTTTTATAATGTTATCAATAATGAGAAGAAAATATCTATACCCTTAAATAGTCTTTGGAAAAGGATTAGTAATATCGAAATAAATCAAATCTAGTTTTTTAGATTTTTATATATTTAGTTGGTTTAAGATTCTATTAATTATTTTTGTAAAAATATATATTTTATAAATATCCAGAATTAAAGGAATCTTGATTGGTTTTTGAAATATAGTAACTTTATGTAGGTTTCTGATTTTATTAAAGCTAAGATGATTGAATTGTTTATACCAAAAAAGGTATCTTTCCTTTTTTGTTATAATCAATTCTTTAACTTCCCTTTTTATTCTATTAATTATTTTTGTAGAGAGTATAAAGAATATAGAATTCTTGTATTCTAGTTTCATATATGAAATAATATATATTCTATTTTTTATTATGATTTTGATAATTTTATTATTCTTATTGTTTTCTAATATAAAATATATTTCTTTAAAATTAAATATATTCTTAAGTTTTACTTTATAAATTCTTTTAACTAAAAGTAGATTAACCCCCAATTCTAATATATATAGTATTTCAGTTAATAATATTTTTATTTCATTTTTATATATTATATTCACTATTCCTTATTCATTCAAATATATAGTTTCTTTATTAACTATTATCCTTTATTATAGAATATGAATTAAATTTCTAAAAAGAGAATATTAGTTAGATATATATAAAGTGGCACCGGTATTAGTATACCATTACAATAAGAATACTTTATTAATACTTTCCTTAATAAAATAATAATATTTAGAATTAGATTTATTATTAATAATATTTTTAGTAATATTAGAGCTTGATTTAGTAATATAAGCTTTATACTTTTTATACTTTTTATCTCTTTATAATAAAAAGATGGATTATCTTTTCTTTTATTTATACTTTAAATCAGATTTCAAAAAACATTTAACACATCAAAATTGAAAGCATTTTAGGATTGAATAACCAGATTTATCGTAGAGTTTGTAAATAACAACAAATATATCAAACTTTGAGTTTGTACTAACCTTATACTAATAATAAAATAGAATATATTTCTTTTTCTTTACAAAATATACTACATCTCCAAAATTTTGTATTTCAACTTTTTTAACCTACAAATACTTGATCTTATCATCAATACTTAAAATAAAACCAACAACACAAATCATATCAATAATAACTTTATATTTATTAGAAAGAGATAAGGTCAAGCTTTGAAAAAGTAATTTATTTATATATAAAATTCTAGCTAAAGTATTTACAAATAAGAACTTTCTTTAAAGATTCTTGAGCTTATCCCATACACCTATAATAATTATATTAAGAATATTATTAAAAAAAAAGATTTTGATTTTAAGGAAATACTCATCTACTACTATATCATCGATTCTAAAATATTTAATAACTAAATAATTCTAAAGTTTTTTTGTTATATCGTATTCGTTTATTAAAGCTTTATCATCATCAAATAATGAATAATAAATATAAAATAATATACTAGTATTGTCCTTAAGAAAGGTGATTTTTTTATTAATATTAAATCAAATTTTTATTATAGCACTACCACTGCCACTGGAGATTTGGAGTTTTTTGAAATCCTTAGCTAATTTATCGATATCTATAATCTGCATATATTCCTGTAATGTTTTTTTATATATATAAAACCAGCTTTTTCCTCAGAATTGAATTTTTATTTAATAAATCTAATATTTGTGATTCTCTTAAATAAGAAAAGAAATATGCTTAGAGTAATCCTTAAATCCAGTATCTTCGTTTATTTTGAGATTCTGTAAATAGAAAACTTGTATTAATAATCTATATATATTTTGATAATAAAATAAAAGAGTTAAAAAGAAAAAGGAATTATTTTGATTAAATTTTTTTAGTTTTAGATATACTAGTATTATAAAGAGAAATTCTCTTCAAAACGGGGTAATTGGAAATAATGAATTTTGATTTGTAAATAATAATTTTTAGAATAATATCGAATACTATATAGTTAGTGATATTCTTCAGTATCAAGCTGAAATGAATAGTTCTTTTAGTAGTAACTCGTAGTTTTCTTACTTGAGAAAAGAATACGATGTAAGTGATTACTTTGTTATCATATTTAAGGAAAGAGTGTGATGTAAATAGTTATTTCATTGTCGCTGCTCAGCAATCTATTTGCTATATACACCTCGTATATTGATGTCGTGTTGTATAGGAGTTTCTTGTTATTAACCTCTACTTTAATAATATAAGTTATTCAAAGAGCTTTCGGCCTTAGTCTTACTGCAGAGCTACTGGGCTTATAATCTGTTTATAATGAAGGAGTAGGCTAATGGAATGTATATAATATTGACTATATAGATTGATTGTACTAAGGTAAAATCTAACTATAAAGTGGAAGTGATATATGTACAATAGTGTAGCGCACGTGCCACAACTTCCAACATAAGTTATTATTATATAAAGTGTAATATATATATAAGAATTCAATTCAAAAAAACTATTATAAATATTAATAATATAATATACAAAATATAGTAAATCGCTTTTTTTTGATGTGATTTAGGTGATCGGCCACTATCTGTGCCCTAGTACTATAGTTATAAGTATATATTAAGAACAGATTAAAGTATTATCATATTAATAAGAATATAATCTTTCAAATTTTCATATATCTATCTAAGAGTAGTATTATCTCTAGAAATTCCATATACATCTTACTAGTTGATTTTCAGTCTTAATTCAATAATATCAAGATTTCAAGTTAATTAACTCAATAATCCAAAAGCAATCCAAGTTTAAAATATATTAATCGCTCAAAGCAAGGTTTTGATGTGTTCGAGAAGTGGCGGTTTTCTGAAATGCGGGGGGGTAGACTTATACCAGAGGCTGAATCATTTCTACTCGTGCGGCAAGAAAGTCATACGACTCCGCTAGATGCACATACCGCAAGATGGCTAATCTGATTTCTCAGCGCTGGTGGCGCCGGAGTTGTCAGCCGAGATCCATTTGCAGGGGCATCCGAGCGGTTAGTTTACTGATGCTAAAATCTGTTCTTTGGCTTGTGGATCGTTGTCAAACTAAGCTTTATCCAAGACAATTAGAGGCTTATATGCATGTGCTTTTACTTGGTTATTTTTTACCTCATTATATCAGAACAACTTAAAGCATTCTGCTAGATTATAACAATTACTTAAGACATTTTAAAAATGAAAATACCCTTATAAAATCATAAATCACGTTTTTGTAGCGTAATAATGTATTATCAGTTTCCGATTCAATGTTAAAAATCTTGTTTGATACTATGTATCAGCAAACGTGGGTCCTATCCCTGTACCCGAATATAACCCAACGCTCGTATCTAGTTCCCTATATTTTCTTCCTACAGGGAAGATGTCACTTATGCATTACTGATCCCTTCTTACAAATAAATATTTAATTGGCCGAGTTCACAATATGTACAACGGTATCGCATGGTTAATGTCTCTGGTTCCAAATTATAACCTAACCTAAGATGCTCATACTTTCCTGTTGAGATTTTGACATATTGGAAGTCATTGTTTGTTAGAGTTTAATTCAATTTGTACTATTCATAGGAAGAGAAAGTACAATGCCTGGAACTTCAAGCATCGTATAATAGATCGTTCCTTGGAAAATTTATCTACGGTCATCTTATAGTCTATCATTGGCCTTGTAAATGTTAAACTACGATGCTGTGCTCGGTGGAGTTTCGAAGCAGCCGTTCGCTGAACTTTGTCACCTGCGATAGTTTTGAATTTTTGTGACCAGTGACTTTTGAATTGGAACCTGATATAACGCCTTATATGTTAAGCAACCATGATCGTACATAGGATAAGTCCTCGTGGACGCCACCTTCTCCTCATATTATCACTCATCATTCTTACGCTGATCTATCTGTACAGCTTCTCCAAGCCTCACTATACCCAAATTCCCAGCTACGCACCCCTCGAACGAACCAATCGCACGTCAAAAGTCGCAATCGCTACATTCCTAACCGGTGGCGAAGATCCCTCCGCGCTCCCAGAAGACGACTTTTACTTTCAAGCGGCCAGAACACTGACATATCAGCTCTTGCACGATCCCCAAACGCGGTCCAAGAGAACTGATATTCCCTTCCTTGTCCTCTGCACCCAAAGCGTTGCCACTTCGAAACTCAAACGTTTAGAACTCGATGGTGCAACAGTGAAAGTTGTATATGATGTGCCCCTTTCCTTCTGGATATCGACAGGAGTAACACGATGGAAGGACCAGTTCACTAAATTGCGGATATTTGAGATGTTAGAGTACGAGCGGATTTTGTTCGTAGACGCTGATACATTGATTATTGAGCCACTTGATGGGATTTTCGACGAAGTGATGATACAAACTCCTATGACTTCACTACTACATAGGACCCAAGAGGTAAAATCCGACGAAAAGCCAATACCAAGCAATTATAACTTCGCCGCCCGCAGCGACAATGCCTTCTCCGGAGAAAGAAACCACCCGTTCCCTCCACCCCCGACGGAAAGTTTCTCAGCTGGGTTCTGGATTGCAGCACCGAGTAAGGAGATGTTTGACTACTTGATGAGTGTGATGGGACATTGGAGGAGGTTTGATCCCCATACGATGGAGCAGAGTTTGTTGAATTATGCGTTTGGAAGGGAGGGACCGATGCCGTGGTTTGAATTGGGGTGGGAGTGGAGTGCTACGTGGCCGAGCTTGAAGGATTGGGAGGCAGGTGTAAAGAGCCTGCATGAGAAATGGGATCGTACGGGACCAAAGGAAATTAGAGAGACGTGGGAGAAAGTGAAGAGTGAGATGGAAGTTTTTCAACATAGGCTTCAGGAGTGATATTGAGTAATAGGCTGTTTGAATTACCAAATAGAGAATATTGAATATCGAAGTGAAACCAACAAAATATCTTTTGTTCGCTATTCAGGTTCTTTGCTTTATAATCAAGAACAAAAATTTATCATTCGAAATAGCCATAATCATATGTGTGCCCAACCATTTTCCTTGAGAACCTGCATCTCATTTACTAAACAGTAAACCCCCTTCTCATGGACTTCTGTTTGTCCTACAACTAATGCCTCACTGCGCCAGCGTTGAACCCTTATTTGAACCAAAAAACGTTCGGTGTACCTCTTCAGAAATCCCGTCCATCGTGCCCACCTATTACTCCAAATCCCCTCTACAATTTCTCTTTTGCTCGGCCACTTCCCCCTTTTTGAATTCACAACACTATCAGCTTCAGCATTGTACGAAACTCTTACCTTTGGATTAAGCCAAACGCCTTTCGTCAAACTCAAACTATTGTCTGCGTGAATAAGACAACATTCCGACCCTTCTAGATGATACTGCGCAAGACTATCTGGAACCCCCCGAAAACGCAAGGATGGATTCTCATAAAATGGTTCCGCTTGGAAGACTACTATTCCATTCCAACAGGATTTAACCGGTACCGCTGCGCGTGTCTTCATCGCATTCCGCGACTCGGCAGCCAGAAAGAAGGGCCAGGTTTGTGTGATTGTTTTCTCGCCTTCGATGTCGCGGAGAGCAAAGGTGTCATAGAAGAGTGGAGGTTTGGAAAAATCGATTGCACAGGCCGCTGCGTAGTCACCATCTCTTGTTGCGAGCAGAGTTACGACGTCTTCGGTCTATAAACCGAGTCAGGAGAATTAGTTAATTGAGGGACTGTACAGCGGGTTGGAAAGAAGCAAATGGCTAAGATACCGTGAAAATAACGTCGTTTAGCCACAGTATCTTGTCGAACGATCGTTCTCCTTGACCATCTGTTCTGTCTGCAAGCCTTTTCAGCTTGTCCATAACTCTATTTCGCAATTTTGCAAGATATGGAATTCGACGTAGTTCTTTTGTGGCCCTACTCGTTTGTATCCACCCCTCCTCGTCTGGATTGGGTATCCGTTCTACTTCGTCTTTGTGTGTAATATCCAACAACTCAATGCTCCTCTCTACCCCCAGCTTCCCCAATTCCTCATCTAAATCCTTCAGAGCACCCTTGGTGTCGTCCCAACTGCCACTTTCTACAATGGAGATATAGACATTGTCTACGCCATAATATCTCACTAGATCTAGTAGAGCAGCGCTCCAATGAGAGCGTAAAATGATCTCATTGTTCCAATGCATGCTCGCAATGAATATACGATCTTTACGAGTGACATTGTCGGATGGGGCCGAGGATAGAGAAACTCGTCTCAGCGATGAACTGATTGAAATCGTTAAGAGAAAGTCGATTGATAGCATAATGAGGAGGGGAATAGTAGCCAAACGGAGCCAGCTTCGGCCTTGACGCCATAATCGCAGGTTAGGATACAGAAGCATACGTATGAAGTGTTTCTGTACATCAGATAGCTCTAGGTGCAGAGAAAAGATGTCATTTTGCTATTTGAGAGTACACAAAGAAATTTAGTGCTGATAATGTCGGCACAGCCACCTTGGATGTGAGCATTATTAAACAAACTCATCTTTCTGAGTTAGCATGCACATTTTGGGAACCATATGCATATAGAATCATTGCCTCTGATTGGCTGAATTGAAAGGATTGAGTGGGTCAGAGTAAGCTTGGGACGATGGGAACCCTGGTCAACGGGCATGATGCCTAGGGTTGGGCGATTTGATGATATATAATATCGTATATCGCTCAGTCAAATATAATATGTAATATCGCTCAGATTGCATTATATTATAACTAATCATAAAATCCTATAAAACCCTATAAAAACCTTATAAAAGGCTATTTTGAAGCTATTTTGAAAAGAAGATAATTAGTATATAAATCACATAATTAACACCTGACTTTTGAGTCTAATTATATACTAAATTGAAAATTAGAACCTATCAAAAACTTTTTCTAAAAACGACCCACTTTCATTCATCCTGATGGTCTTATTGGCCCGAAAAACACGTGTATAAACTTGACATAATATTTTATATGCCTCAAAAAGCATTATAATATAAAATTATATAATCGACCCCCAAATTATATAATTCGCCCATCCCTAATGATGCCAAGTGGTTCATTCGGTACTGCGTCTACCGCTAAATTCGAAGGTATGATGCTAGGTAGTCGAAAGCTTTCTTTTAGTGGAGCTGTATGTAACCGATACACGAAGGTTGGAAGACACCTGTGACCTAGGTAATAAGTCTTGAGAACCCACTTTTAGTAAAATCTTGCTGTTTTAGAGATTATACTGCTGCTTTAAGTGGTTCCCCTCAAATTTCAAATTCCCAAGTCTTTGATTACCATAGTCAACAATGTTTACCCTGTAACACTGCCTGTCAAGACCGCTACCACCAGCACTGTAAAGCTTGTGTCTGCTAGTTACTATACAGATGCCGGCAGCAGCAACTAAAAGCAGAGTGACAGGATCCGCTACAGCTCTCCCCAAAACAAGCTTTACTCTGCTCTTGCTTGCGCTTCCAGCCCTGGATGCTAAGGAAAGTCTCAGGTATATTACTTTGGCAGCATGAAATTCATTGGCTGATATACAAGCCTAATCACTATTTTCTGTTTAAGGCTGCCCCATGAGGTGCATGTCGGAGAATCGTACCATTTAGAGGCTTTCATTGTCAAAGTAGAGATGGTGTTTTTCCATCGAAAGCAAAAGCAAAGATCGTGTTTGAGTCAAGCTTGGGACTTCGCTTTTTACATCAGAGTCCGCGTCCATTATGCATAGGTAGTTTGCAATCCGGTCATCCTCATCATTATCATAGTGATTTCAAGACAATTGTTACACAGAATCGACAAATGGTACCTATGGATTTAATTCACAAACGATTGTTCTTCGGGTGCAATTTAATCTGATTGACACTATCGTGATACTAATATTTACATGGAAAATAAGGGCCAAGTATAAACATTTTTGGGTTGAAAGTAAAAGTTAAGGGAAACGAAAGGATAAATGTGCAGGATATGGAGCATTCTCCTCCTGACTGGTGTTCGCTCAGTCTACCGACTAGGAGTTTACCCTTTACAGGCACTGGGAATAGTAGGTATTCGTGACCTTGCAACTATGCGGAGCAGCACAGGTCGTTGGGCCAGTCCATCCTGTTCCGCCGCACTTTCCGTACTGGGATTGAGTAGCCTCGGCGGACGTCGCAGTTGTGCTTTCAGCCAGAGGAGAGGTCGTTGGCGTTGGTACTTTGAGTAAAGTGGTAGCCTCGACCTTGTCAGCCGCACTCGCTTTCTTCCCAGACAGAATGAATGTCACCATGCCGTGGGCGGGGACTGTAGCACTGACGGCACCACCACTGACAGTGGCGCTAAGACTAGCCATAGAGTTCTGGCTTTGAGAAGTCACATACGCAACGACGCTCGATGCTGAGAAGCCAGTGGTCGTTACTTGAACGGCAGTGGAGGCACTGTTGGTATTGATCATTTGCACGGAAACAGTGCCGTCGGTGTTCTTGAATGCGCTGGTGTTGATCCCAGCTGGAGCCCCAGAAGTAGCAACACGGACAGCACCGGGGCGCACCGATCGGCTAAAGTGTGCGTATGCCCAGAGTCTGGCGGAGGGATTTACGGTTGTTCCAGCAATCTGGATGAGCCCAGCATTGTTCGTTGTGGATTCGATACCCTCCCAGTAGAAGTAAGCACTGACATTTCCTTTGACGATGGCCGTATAGATATTGTTTGCCCACGTGTAGCCATCAGAGCTGGATCCAGTCGAGTACCAGTTTGCATTCCAGGCATCTGTCGTTTCTTTCTCCGTCATCCAAGTTGGGCGAGAAGTCTTGATGGGCGAGGTTGGGTCGCTTGAATAACCATGGGATGTAATTCTCGCAATCATGCCTTCGACACCAGCTGCAACAAGTTGCGCCGTAGCTTTAACCTGGTCTTCCCACCCAACCATATCGCAGCAGTTGATACCGACCTCACTTAGCCCAGAGGCAGCAAGAGCTGGATGAAGCACTTTAATGAAGTCTGCCGCTTGTGTACCCGAAGACAACATGGAGGAATAAGCCGTGCTGAGCAGTTCTTGTCAGTGTTGAATCGCTAGAGGGTGCAAATACAGTACTTACGTGTAGTCAGGTTCATTTAAAAAGCCCAAATACTGGTAATCAATGCCAACAGAAGCATAATATTTGATATACTGGATCAAGAACTCGGCATATGCTTGCATCCAATTTCCTGACGAGCAGGATTCGCCGCTCACACCGCACAGGTAACCTCCATTGGTTTCCACGCCGTTGGTTTTCATAAAACCGGGTGCACTCCAGGCGTTTGCATAGAATCTTGTCACTCCATAAGCCTTTGCTTGCTGGGAGACCCATAATTGGTGGCTGTCGCTGCCATCCCAAACATACTTGGGGGTGCCACTAGGTGAGCCGGGACTGGCTGGCTCAATACTGTCGCCTTTTCCCCCGGAACCAATGCGATTTCGAAGGATGGTGAAGCCTGCCCCAGCAGTCGGACTGAAGAGAAGGTCAAGTGCGTGGCTTCGTTGGGTAGAAGGAAGGTTGTAAAGATCATTCGCTCGACCGAATGCTTGAGAGAAACCGAAGCCGTCCATGGTCTGATAAGTTGTGCCAACATTGACATTGATAGCAGCAAGAGCCACTTGGGCGGCAAGCGCCACGAAAGAGAATTGATACAACATTGTTCGTGACAAGCGAAATCGCAAGAGTGTGAAAGATGTAAAGAATGATGCTAAATAATTTTCACAGAAGGGAAAAAAGTCATTGTCTTTATTCTCTTCATTTAACCATACATGGCCCTTCAATCACCTTTCGTGACAAGGGCAAGTCAGTACCACACACAGCTGACCACACAAAAACATTGTCATTTCAGGAGCAGATCTACCTGCCCTTCTCGTATAATATGGTGATGATTTCCCATAATATAGTGACAATGTCCCGCAGGTAGAGTGAAGTTGGAGCCCAAATTTCTTCCAACAATGCATGAGCTTGCAGACGGCATTTGTCCTCCTACTCTGATCCCTCTCAATTGTGTTCCTGTATGCTCACTAGCACATAAGCAACTTGGTATACACCATGTTCTTTTGACAAATGCGCTCAACATTAGCAAGGATCATCACTTTAAGGTTATTTTAGAGTTAATTGGCCTCGCTCTGGATAAAATAAAACATCCCAAAATGAAAGTATTCGACAGAAATGCAAGGTATTTAATGAATACCCCGTTGGAATGACAGATGAAACACTCTAGTGTTTTCTACAACCCGAACCCCACAAAAAGCTTGAATTGTTAATCCTTACTAGCCTTGAGCGAATTTCCCAAAAAGAACATGACCTCGGGATACCATTGGAATCTAGACTTTCCCACGCCGCCGCTGATTGAAACGAACACGACCCACACGATACATCAAATAGACAGTATCATCTCATGTCTTCATACTCGTGCAGCCAGAAAATATACCACACTCCACTCACAAGCACATCCTATAAGATAGTAGACTACAAAATGATTGGTGGTCCATATTTGAATGAAGTATTGCGTACTTTCTGACAGCACGAGTATGATTCGACATTATGGAGCCGATGAAATGCGGGGTTGCTTTTTGATTGCAGGAGTAAGGAATGGGAGTTCATATGGACCCAGGACCGAACTACCGTGCAAGTGACAACGTAGCATCGGCTTTGAACATGTGGCAATCTGTGAATGCCGATCCAAAATACGATTAAATTAAGCGTTTTAAGCTTTAAAAAAAGGGGTGGTGATCGTGATGTCCATAATAGGAACTCTTCATTCTCAATATCACCAGACATAGGTAGGCCCTGTCGCCGTAATCTATTTCTCAACCTGCTCAAATTGCCTATACGAAAGCCAATGGATTAGACATCTTCTCACTTGAGCTTTATCTAACAATTTCCCATATTCAAAGAAGGACATATCATCACTTCAAGTCCTCTAGAGAAGATTCGTAAATTTGAGTGAATCTCCTAGCTCGCGTAAAGCTTTCAAGGTATAAACTGTGTACTTTTCATGTCTTTGCGCTGTAATTGCCTATTTGTATAATTCTACCTCTAGCGTGGGGGATAGAAACTTATGATTATTCAGATGGCTTATGCTTTGTGCTGAAGCAGTAATTTCTCTGTTAAGCGCTTGCTGTTATTCTATAGCATCTTCGAATTCCGTTAAAGAAACGGCGGGGCAAATGTCCGAGCTAGCTGTATATATTACTGTAGGAGTCTGGTATACAGTACTAAACATTAAGTTTGCGCGAAAAGCCTTTTTCCACCAAAACTCACCTTCTTTAGAATATAATTAAAAATCAACTATTAGTTTTAATAAGATCAAAATTGAGAAATTAATAAAAATTCATTAATATATCAATAAAAAATGAATAAATTATTTTTATTGATTTTTATTTTAATTGAAAAAAACTTCGAATTCGAAATCTCTTAAAAACTTATAAAATTCGCTTAATT